GCAGGAATGTTGAAATAAAGTGCTGTGAGATACATCAGTTTCAGGTTAACACAGGGTTATGCTGTTCCCGTTTTTTTGCAACATTCTGCAGTATTTCATTAATGATGATTAGGAGGCTGCGTACCAAAGCATTCAGAGAAGGAGGCTGGCTGTTGTCCTCTTGTCAGGTCATATACTTACCAGAAGCCAGAGGTAACGGATTGATCATGAAATTTTTTAAAGCTGAGAAATAAGTTTTAGTTTCTCAAAGGCACTTGAGGAAAAAAAAAAAACCCACCAACTAGAAATTGAAATGTAGGCTAAATTTTGCTTTTGGAAATAACTATATTGCAATCAATAAATAATGACTATGAAGAGGTTAAGTAATGCCTGAGGAAGTTAGTCACTTGGGTATGACTGTCCATCTTTATCATATAACTCAGTCTCTATGTTCAGTTTAGTAATTTCCTTTAGTAATTGTAGTAACATTTTATGATTTGTAATGACAGTTTATGATTTGAATTCTTAAGTGTGCTGCATTTGGGCACATTTACATTACTAAAAGACAGTTAAACAAAACGTGTTGTCATATTGTGAAGATAATATTGCTGTGATCTCTTTAATACCTCGAGATGTCAGCACCTTTTTATGATGCCTCATTTGAAAGACAGAACTTTAGGAGCCAGCACCCTGCAACAGTTGTAGTTGTATCGTCTCACTTATATGTCCTTAGATTGTAACTTTAGCCAGGAAAAACAGGAATATGTATGAACACGGGTTTCTTTTCCTTGAGGGATTTTATATACCTTTGTATTGCACGGGATAGAGGCCTGCTTGATGCCTCAGCAAGGTTCTATCTCTTGGATTTGCCCTGGAAGCAGAGTGAGCATAGGTACTGTACTACCACGGAAGAGGTTGATGCAGAATGACCTTTCTCATGTGAACGTAGCTCTGTTCCTTTCCAGCCGCACTGGGATAGAGTTGCCTTAAAGCTGGTTGAGCGTGTGGACTGGCAATTTTACCAAGCCACGCAAGCTTATGATTTTGTTGATTGTATTTGGTATCAAAATACAAGCAGTCATCTGTGCGCCTCTTGGAGCCAAATGCGATGCTGCAGTTTTTATGGCACAGTACCCTAGCTCTGCCACCTTCTTGGTATTATCCTTACTGTTGAGACTGAGTGCCTGATGGATGTGGTCTCTTCAGTTGTTGGAAGTGCAGCCGGTTAACTATCAAAGTAACAAAAGTCAAGGTGTGTGAATCTCTGTATTTTTATTGAAAGCCATCAAAGAAAACATTAGAGATAAGTAAGTGGTTTTACATTTTTATGTACTTTAGATTCTTCAGATGCATGCCTGCAAACCAGTTAACATGGAATGTTAAAGAGCCAATGCAAAATTCATGTGTATGTTTAAAAATACACTTGGTAAAAACCTCCATGTAACTGTCACGCGTTGCTCCCATGTTTGCTGTTTTACCAAAGAAGATTACCATGACACTTGTGTCAAAATGGAATCTTCCCAAGGCTTTATCAGCTTGCTCTTTTTCTTGATTTATTCAGTGATGTTTTCTTTTCTGGTACCCTCTCAAATTTCTGAATTTTATAGTAGGTGGTTTTTTGGTGGCATTGTAGTGGTGATGCTGTAAGTACTAGGAAATAGCTCTGCTGAAAGAATTCAGGAGTAGACAAGTGAAGGAAATTTGGTGCCAGTATTGCAGAGAAAACGGAAATAAAATTACTAGTGAATAAGAACATGAATGAAACTAGAAGACTGATTGAAATACTCAAGTTAAAAGCTTTCCCTTATATTAACAATCC